ACTGGGTTTGATCCTTGTTTATTTTTTGAAGATACTTTTCAGTGTGTGTGTATATTGTGTGTTTTGTGTGTGTGTGTGTGTGTGTGTGTGTGTGTGTGTGTGTGTGTGTGTTTGTGTTTTGAGGTGTTGAGGATTGCTAGGCAAGTGCTCTACCATTGAACTATACCCCCAGCCTTACTGCATATGTAATGGGTTGATCTATGTGAATCATTACATTAAGTTCTGTGGACAATAAAACATATTAAAATAATGATAGAAGATTATGATCAAGGGAGGTCATTCCTTGGCTGAGGTTTTGCTGCAGGTTAAAGCAGATATGTAATGAGGGCATGGATCAGTTAGAATTTTTATCTTCTTTGTTAAAGCATTTCATAATTGTCCTCTCTCTGGGCCAGGCTCTCTGCATGTCCAAGAATAAACTGATTCATCCATAGTAAAGATATGAGTCAAATATTTTGGCTTTGCTCTGAAGCCTTTCTTGGCTTGGACATAAGACACTGGGACTTTGTCTTCCAATTTCCCAGCTTGTTCTATCAAATCTTCTCAAAAGCTATTAGACAAAGAATGAACAATGGGGATTATCCAATAGGCCTTCCAAATGCAATACCCAAGAAAGCAACATTGGAATTACATAAAACCACTGGTCAGTAAATTCTGTCCTCGATCATAAACAGATTAGTCAATAGCACAAAATAATTGGTTCAATGATTCTTGCAATAGAGCAAAGAAAAAAACCATTCCAGGATTAAAACTATTAGAGATACAACTTTTTTGCTAGATAAAGAACTATAAATTTGCCAAGCCCAGTGGAAGATAAGTTAAAAAACACTATTGAAATATAAGGATACTTGGGTTGGGATTGTGTCTCAGCAGTAGAGTGCTCACCTAGCCCATGCAAGGCCCTGAATTCAATCCTCAGCCCCACATAAACATAAATAAAATAAAGGTATTGTGTCCAATTACAACTAAAAATTAAATTAAAAAAAAGAAATATATGGATACATAATGATAGGTATATAGACAAAACATTAAACAAAAACAATTGCATTTGATGAAGCTGCCCTTGAACAATTAAAAAAAAAAATGAACGGGAGCTGTATGAATCATTCAAATTTTTCCTTAAATAATCTGAAAGTAAATATTGTTCTCGATTCTAATCCGAGATGCTGACCTGAGATTGTTGAAAAAGGATGCTTTTCTCTGGATTTATACCACAAGCAAGAAGAGCTGCAGTCATGTCCAGGATGCTCTGCCGAAGAATGGTGGGGTCTTGAGGGATGGTGATGGAGTGGAGGTCAACGATGCTGTATAGCACTGTGTCATATTCATCCTGTAACCTCACCCAGCTCTCAATGGCTCCTAGGTAATTTCCCAAGTGGAGGATTCCTGTAGGCTGAATACCAGAAAATATCCGCTCCATACTGTCTTTCTAAAACAAAGGAAAATAGACATATTTGCTTTTGAGGCAGGATCCCAAATCCTATGCTCATGTTACAATGACTATGATGGCTAGTCCTATTTTTGCCAACTGTAATCTGACAGTCATTTGCATCATGCATTTATCC